AAAAAGATTATTTTCATGATTATTAACCGAACTGAACCGAGATACGAACTGGTTATGGTGCGGTTATGGTATGGCTAAAAAATTGGTGGTGCATTTATGGTTTTGGCCGAACCGTTGCCATCCCTACCCGGAGGAATGGAAAACAATTTTCAGACCCGGCGTTGAGGAAGAAGTCAACTTAGTACACCTTCAGTATGCAGTATTAGACGGTAATCCACACTCAACAATATAATGAATAAAACTTTAGCTTTTCGAGTATTTTCTTTGGTTTTAGTGCCTTCTTTAACTAGGAGTTTCATGTGTATATATAAATTAGATAGCATTTTTAAGTTACTAATTGCATTGATTTTCTTTGAAGTTTTATAGGATGGCAATTTTAAGTTACTATCCTAAAAAAAGAAGGGATAATTAGGTCCAGTACGGCCCATAAGAAACAAAATTGAAAAATACACTTTGGACTAATTAAATAATTCAAAACGTAATTAATACATCTAAAATCTCCGAAAACGTAAAGAAAGAGAACTGACTGGTGTTTCTTTAACTTTTTTCCATTTTCATTATCTTGACAAACAGAAAAGAGCAGTGCACGGTCGCGCCACCGTCGTCTCCGGGTTAGCAGCCTACTGGGCACATACCGGCGAGTCTCTACACCTCCACCGACCAGTGGGACTTTCTCACAAATCTATGGCAGCTCCACCTTCCCTCGCAATCCTTTGTAGCACCCTTTGGGCGAATCAACCTCACTTCTTTTAATGTGGGCAAGTATTTTGATAATTCTACCAACATGAGAGAAATTTCATGGCGGATTCACACTGCCGATGCCAAATAGGTAACTTCTGCAAGTTCATCAGAATGTGCACACCAAGTGTTCGACGTATTGATTCATCTGAATGAGCGCACCAAGTGTTCGACGTATTGATTCATTTAATTTCATATGTCAATATGGTTTCAAAGATTCTTCCAAAGTGATTTCTCAAGAATGTGGTGAATATGATATATGGCAAAAAAAAAATGCAAAGAGGTTACTCCCCTGCTATCTCGCTTGTCTCTGTTTGTTTTCTTGATTTTGAGCTAGTTTGTATCCCAGAAAATTCTTATGCTTATTCCTTCTCTAGATAGTCCCATTGGAAACTTCTGTTGTAAGATGCTTTATCCTCATTACTGTTTGTAACGAATATAGAATATGTATTGCTAATTTCTGTCTTCCTATCTACGGTACATGAAATATTAACTCAGCATCAAACTACATCCCTAGAGTAGTTGAAAACCTGAAGGGCAAAGCAGGTGAGAGATCCAAAACTTGGTGCTGGTGCTGG